CCGCCGCACCACAATTAAACATACGCCTTGGAAACATTTTGTTGGATCTAGCAAAAGGGCAATTGGTGAACGATTTGGATTCTATCCTTGGAGATCTACTTGGTCAGACTATCAACGACAGACAACATCTCGATGAGACTGATGAGGTTTGTTTATCTGATGTAATTTTGTCTATGTTCATCTTTCAGCCGGTGTTCCTGAGTGCATCTATATGGTTATATTAATATTTTGGTTGCTATGGTTGCTATAACATTGCTGCTCTTGCCCTCTGTCTCATGATTATCCGGTGTCCCAAAGATTATTCAATGTTCTATTAAGATAAAGTAATTACTGAAATTCCTTCATTCATTCAGTCTGGTATCGCATGTCCTTTGATTTCCGGTATGATTTAAATAAGTGTACAAAGTAAATGTCTTGATTTTGAATTTGAGCGGACTATAAAAATGGATAAGAACGTAAGACATTAAAAGTTATTAAAGTGGTCTTAAAGTATGACTGAAGAGAGATGAAAAATGAGCAGGCAGTGTAAATTGCAGCTTGTGACACCTGCGCATTCAGTTCAGTGTTTTGAAAGACTGTTATTGAGCATAGCAATTTTGTTTTCTTAACTGTTGCTTTGCTTTTTTTAATGAAGATTGCTAATTGTTTTGATATTGAAGTAGATGCTAATGTTTCTTATCGTAATAATAGTCATTATTGTTGCATATTAAAGCTTTTATTTCAACAAACAAAAAAATGATGCTAGGTGAGCTGGCCAGTTAAGTGAATGCTTTGCCACAGTCTTAGAAATTGATTAAGCTGGGCTAAGGTTCACTTAGGCTGGACGCTATAACCGCAGAGCAAACATCCCTTACTCATGCCTGCAAGTACATGTACCACTTTCTTTCCTTCATTCCTCTCTTTTTTTTTTTTAAATTTCACTAAAAAGCATGTCTCTAAAATCCATTGGATTATTTTCTGCTTTGAAACTTGCAATTTGCATGTGACTACTATTTCTGTTCCATTTGATTATGTGCAGTCGTAATGATTTGTTTTTAGTCGAAAAAAAAAATTGTTTGAGAGGGAAATGAACGTTTTTGCATGCTTGAATAAATAACTTCAAATAAATAACTTACTGTTTTAATGGCTTCATTACCTAATGAGTCATCCAATCCATTTTTAAAGTTAAAAGTTAATGAGGAGTGAGTGAGCTATACAATCTACGTTTCTTTATTTATGAAAAATTTTCATTGAAATTACTGAATACAAATGTTGGAGTTGTAGTTATTCGTGGAACAATTAGCAAATAAACAACTAAATTTTACATAACCTTCAATTAATCCTGATGGAAATTTTGAAAGACGGAAGAATTTTTAGTTTAGTTTTTCTTCTTCCTACGAAATATTAGTATCATGATTTACATAGAAAAGTGGACAGAATATGCATCTTGCAAATATCATGAAATAATATATAATTATTGTAAACATTTAATAATCATTTAAAAGTGATTCGAATTTAGAATTTTAAAATGTGGAACACTTAATACAAATAGCTGAATTTAGAATAGTTTCTAACTGGCATTGAAAAAATTAATTATGCATTTTTGCACAGTTTCAAACTTTAAAATAAAATTACAGTGTCAAAATGATGCAAACGATGGTAGTCGTGAGCCAGCATCAGTTGAATCCGAATCACAAGAAACAACAGAGTCGGTCAAATTTATTTATACCGAATCAACCGGTCGTTTCGAGCGTAGATTTAGTCGTGAATGGACACCAGATGAAGTTTCGGTAAGTGCTCAATTTTTTTTTCAATTTCTAATTTCTAATTTTTTTTTTTGTTGATATTATTCTTGAATCCTGTTGTATCAATTTACATTCTATTTCATGCTTGCTTACCTATGACAAATTTTTAAATATCAGATGATTATAATCCATTATTTCAAATAGATGAAAAAATGATCTACATGGTCATTCACTGAGTCATTCATTATTGTGTAATTGTGATCAGTTTATTTGTAATGAATATTGAATATAATTAAACTTTTGTGAAATATTGTACTATATAGTCTCAAAGAAAAAATGACAAAATGAAAAAAAAAATGATAATTTCAAAATTATTAATTGAATTTGCTTCAGTTATAAATATTATCATAGAAATTCGAACAAGCAAAACGACAATTATCTACTGGTAAAGCAAAATTAAGAAAACAACAAACTTTGGAAAAAATACGTAATAGGACTGAAGTAGTGGTTGATGAACAACAGCAACAGCAATCTAAGAAATCAGATATTGAACATGGTGAGAATAATTGGTCATATAATTGAATTCATAATTGTTTATTCATAATTTCAATTAAATGTACTGTTATATAGGATGTAATGAGACTTTTTTTTTTGGACTATATGAGTTGGAGTCCATCCAGTTCATAATTTGAGGGCTAAATTTTAACGAATCAATAAAAGAGGAAAGAGATAGACAAAATATGGTAGGATGAAAATGAAAAAGAATGATAAAAGAAGAGGAAGAAGAAAAGAAGGAAAAGCATATCCATTGTTCTCAATGCTAGCTAGCATTATCTCTTTCTTCTAAAGGACTATTCATTCATGAGATGTTCCGAAGTGAATTTCTGTATGTCATACATAAATTAGAGTGTGTATGAATTATTATCCCTCAGCAACTTTCCTTTCATTACTCTTTTTTTTATTACTGTAGTTAATTTGAGAAATGGGTAATTGTTATAGCATGACAAGTTAAGTAATTATTATTACTTCTACCATTTATAACATTAAATTTTAATCTTAAAAGATGACATGCATGATTGAAAAAAAAAAAAAACGTATGACAACTATCATTTAAATCACTTCATTGTTTAAAAATTTTGGAAACATTTTAATTATAATTTATTTTTCGAGTTTTATTTTTATTTCTATTTAGCTTTTACTAATCTCTCTCTCTCTCAAAAAAAAAAAAAAAATGTGTTTAGATAGTTTTGAAAAGAGGCTTATCGCTTAAATATAGTATATTATCATAAAAATTTTATTTGTAACTTTACTTTCCTTAACCGTAAACTTAGAGGAAATAAGAGACTTGAATTGTTGTAGGATTAGAAAATGATATTTGTATGATTATCGATGGAATTTTGCCACTCATTCGACAGCATAGCGAGTTAATTGCTAATGATGAGTTTATGCGACAGCTGCGCGATGAACTGCTGCAACAGGCGTCTATGGTATGCTTTCCTGGCGATGCCGCTCCAACGGATCTCTTTCGCAGTCAGTTGAGCACAATTATTGACGATACATTATCTCAGTATGTGGGCAGTAAAGTGGCGGAAGTGAGGGAAGAACTCATTTTTGATACTTCTGAAATTTTATATAATGAATTAACTTTCTTCCAATTAATGTATAACATTGATAATTTAGCCGTTTAAGTGCCTTGAAATTATGTATTTATCATTGCTATCTCTGTTATATTTTCTTTTATATACAATTTGTGAAAATTTTATTGAAATATCCGTTACAAGGCTTTTTGCTGATTGCTTCAAATAATATCAATTGCTCAGTTTCAAAACATTAAAATGTTTTTTACTTTCAATTGGTTAATTTGCTACTGTGATATTAGATTGATGAAGATTTCAGATTTTTGCATTCTGAATTCATCATCACTTCTAATTGTTTTGGAATGTTATTTTCATGGAAGGATATTTTTATCATAATTGACATACCTACCTTTTTTTTTTTGGAAATTTCACCAATTAGTATTTATACTTGAAATTGGTGTAATTTCCTTCCGCATATAAATTTATACGCTAGTTTTGTGACTGCTTATTAATAATTACTACCAAATCAATTTGTTAAATTAATCTTTATCAATCAGTGATGTTTATTTGAATGCTTTATTTAATTGCATTTTATTTAGAACACTGTTGTAGCAATCATTTAATCCTGCTTTTACTGTCATATTGCTATTTATTTAATGTGATTCTCACTTATTTCCGTTTCACTTTATTACTAAACTATCATTGCCACTTTGATTTATTTATTCATTGCCTTTTTCTATCTATGCTTTATTGTTGCTACATTTAAAAATGCTGCATCAATTTTTTTTCTTTCCATATTTTTCATCAAAATTTGTTAAATTTCATTGCTGATTGCGTACTTTTTCAAATGACTGTCTAGAATTCCTGTTGATATCACAAGAACAGTGTGATAATTTGGTGGAATTTATTATGATAGTTTTGATGGAGCTTATCTTTCTGAATGTCTGTCCAGAATTGCTATTTCCTAGCTGATTCAATCCGGTATATTAAAAAAATAAAAGAAAAAGGAAAAGGAAAATGGCTCGATACGATATGTGATGATGAGAAAGAAGTAAATTTATATTTGGTCAGTTTTGTTTTGAAATAACATTTGAATACTCATATTTGTATTTACATTTCGTATAAACAAAGTTTGCATTTTCCATAATATCGCGAAGACAATGCAATATTTTGCAAGCAAATAAAGAAGGTATTGCAAGGGTTGTGGATTTCTAGTGTTGAGGTAATGCAGACCGTGAAATACTGTAATTGGACGAGTGGGTTTGCCAAAATTCCGGAAAAGATTGAAATTCTGAATTTAGAAAGTTCTGAGAGTTGCTTCCATCCTGCAAGTGCTAAATAGAATTATCCATTGACTTTCCAAAGGTTCAGTTATTCTTTTGACTGGGTAGACTGTCTAACATACATTATACCTGGAGCAAAATTCTCAGGTAAATTTGGTTGGTATTTCCTTTGTACGGTTGTGGATATCGATTTTCACTATATTTGATTGAGTCCAACCCGGTTCTCATGCTATTTTCGTTATTTGCACTGATTCTTATAAATGAGATGACAATTTCTCTTATCGTTCCGGAAATTTTTATATTTTTTTTTTCAGAAATTTAAATAATAATTTGGCTTTCCATTTGTTCTCCTCACTAAGTGAATTTATTTTCATTTTGCATTTGAAAGACTGAAATTGTTGAGAAATATTTAGCCAATGTGGAAGCAAAAGGATACCGATCGAATGCTTGTTGAAATTGCTATTGCTGCAACAATTTTATTTGCATTTTTGGCTACAACAATGAAGCAATGTTCAATACGAATTAATTTTTTATTTATTATCATCGTTTCATCTTCATTCTACCTTCATTCACTTCGATTAGGTGTAAATCTTTCTAATCTACCTGCATTATTTTACAAACGAATTTTTGATGGAACAGATCAAAGGTTTGTTAATTTACATATTTATAATATTTTTAATAGTTAATATCGGCAGTATTTTTCTCATTTTTTTATTCAACAATTGTCATTAAAAAAAAAAAAAAAAATAATGGAATATTTATAATTAAATTTGTTAACTGTATCAGTATTATTTTGCATTCATTTTATCTTGAGTTTCATAAGTATAAATTATTAATTTAACAATCGTTGAAAGAAATTATAAATTTCAATTTTTTTCTTTTTTTAGATATTATCTATTATTATTTTACCTGATATGTGTCTTTGCAACATTAATATTTTGCATTATTGTGAATCATTTATCACATAGCTCAACTGTACATCGAAAATTTTTCCATCTCACAGTATCATTAATTTGTATAACTGGTATTCAGTATGATTTTGAATTTATTTGGTTATCTGCTTGGTTAACACTTTGTATTTTTGTAATTATTGAGGTAAGTTTATTTTTATTCTATCATTGTCAAATATTCTAACTTTTATTTTTGCAGAAAAATTTTTTTTCTTGTTTTTTCTTTTCTTTACTAGTTGATAATTAATTAGTCATATAGTTAATAATCAAATGCTACAAATAATCATTTTTTGAAGAAAGTTACAATTCTTTTATTAATTTCTATGAAAAATTCTATGAAATATTATAATTGCTTAGCTTTTTTTTTTTTTTTTTTATTTTTTTTTTAATTTCAATGATAATTTATGTATTTGTTAGTTAACATAAAAATGTTTTCATATTGGTTAGAATCTCTCTTATCTGTTAATTAATTGTTTCTAATTACATTTAGGTTTTTCGTTCCAAATGTGTATCACCATGGTCAAAGTATTTAAATGATTGGTTGTTAATTTTTATCGATAAACAAGATTCACCGAAACTTATTTTAACTCCTATTTATCTAATGGCTGGGATATTTTTACCACTTTTCCTTTCACCAATTGCTAATAACGGTATGTAAAGAATCACGAAACTCACTATTTCGTGATTCTTTTTTTTTTGCCGAAATTATGAGAGTCTTTTACGCAACTTATCTTAACTTTGATTTATCTGCTGACCAAGATATTTTACAAGAAATCAAAATGCATGCACTTGTATTTAGAAGATTTTTAATTCTCTATAATATTATTTAACAATTTAATTCTTTAAGAGAATTCATTTTTTTTTTTTTTGCGTTATGTATATTAGACTGAAGAATTGCATGGAGAATTTGAAATTCTCAAAATTGATACGAAAAAATGATAATTTTTTTTAATGCTCTGATTACATCGTATATATGAAATAAACTTTTTTTTTATCATGGAAAGAAAAGAAAAATGAGTTAACAATTAATTAGTAAATAAATAGAGAATAATAAATAGAATTACAGAATATCGTCATCTATATCATTTTGCTGGTGTTGCTACCATTGGTGTGGGTGATAGTTTAGCAGCAATTATTGGCTCAAAATATGGACGTTTATATTGGCCAAAATCACAAAAAACAATGGAAGGAAGTGTTGCATTTGCTATTGGCCAATTTATTTTTTGCATTTTAATATGTTTGTATTATTTAAAATGTGATATTAACATGTATCAATTACTTTGGATTATGCTTTCCTCATTTACATGTGCCTTTTTTGAGGCTATACTACCTGCTATGGATAATATTATTCTACCTGTGATAGCTTATTTAATTCTTTCTTAATCTTTCTTTTTTTTTTTTTTTAATATATATTTAGAAATGGAACAAATTGTGGAGATAAATGTGGAGCTTTTTTTTTTTCTCCTTACAGTTTAAACTCTTAATGAGTTAGGAATATGAGAAGATAGTTTAGCCATCTGGATTAAAACGGATATGATTAAGCTAAAAGAGTAAATGTGATTAAGAAATTATTAGCTTCATTGAGTACATAATGAAATAACTGAAATATAATTTCAAGATAAAAGAAAACTAACCGAAATAGTTGTAATTAAAATTCATCTCTTTATTGTTACTTTTAATCACTTCTGCAATATATAATAATTGCTGATTGAGAAAAAAAGGTAGGATAATAGATCAAAAATTTTCTTTTCAAAAAAAGCTATTTGAATTTAATAGAGGAATAAAAAAAGAAAAAAAGGAAATAAATTTATATCTGAAAGATTTTAAGTCTTCTTCCTCAACAGCAATATATCATTTAATAAAATAAAATTGATGAATCAGATTGAGAGGCATACAAACATAGATTACTCCAAATTGACATTTTTGTTGTAATGGACGACGGGAAATGTTGACACTCATTTAGCTAAATAATGAAGAAGAAATGATAGGAATAGCTAACATATATTGATGTATTAGCATTAGTAATAAATAGTATAAGCATATGCTACAAATGTCATTAAGCATTTTGTGAATTTTGATTGGAAAGAAAGAGAGAAAATTGGATGTGCTTTTAGCAGCTAACAACTAACTTTACTGCAAATAAGCGCATAATTGTTCGTCGAGAGCTATGCTAAGATGATTGAGTAGGAGAAATTGAGTGATTCGTTCGTTGAGTTCATTTTGATCTCTTCTTTCTTACAAATTTGTTACTTTATACTTTCTTCTCATTTAAATTTAGTTATTAAATTGAAAAAAAAAAACTTCTTTTTTTTTTGATATATTATAATTTTAATGAAATTTAATAGTTTAACAATTTTGTTAGCAATAAATAGCTCAATTATTAATCAAAAATTAATTAAAAGATCAGTTTTTTGTAATCAAAAAATTGGTTTTATTTTTATCAAAGTTAAAATTTATTATTGACCATAAGATATTATTTTAGGATGTCTAATTATGAGCGAAAATATGATTTAAATTTAAAAAAAAAAAAGTGAAAGTAATTAGTGTAATGATATTTTTGACTTACAGAGTATTCCAAACATTTAATCTTTTGTCTTAGAACAAATTAAAAAGGCTTTAATTTTAATTATATTACACTTTATTCTCTTACTCTCTTCAATCTCTTTTTTTTTATGATTTTAGTAATTAAACTCTCACTGATTAATGTAAATTTGATTTCAACTCTATCATGAATCATATTTTCTTTACCAAAAATATTCTAATACTGAAATAGCACACTAACTTGAAGATAATCTAGTAATAACTGAATATGATTTAATATTAATTTTGCAATAAAACGTAAGTAAACTGCCAATCAATTTTACTTAAATCCTTTAATTGATCTCATTTAGATTATCTAATCAATATTTCATGATTATCTCTATAATTATCCTATACTATTACTTATTAGGCTGCTTATTTCATCTACTATTAGGCTCGTTACTTACTTAAATTTACTTAACATTCATATGTATTTTATTATTTACACTTATTTTTGTTCACTTTTTTTTATAAACTGAATAAATTGGTCTATTCTCTATATCACTAAAAGAATGTAGTCTTGATCATTGTATCACAGCACTTGTCTCATCTCATCTCGATACTTTTTATAATTTTCATTACAATTTCTACTCTCTAACATTCTTCCACTAATTTTACATTTGTAAAATTCTATGGTATGTGAATTTAAGTAATAGAATATGAGGAAAAGAAGAGAAATAGAAAAGAGAAGTAGCAAAAAAAAAAAAAAAAATGAATTAAATTTTACAAGAGATCAGAATAGTTATTGCATCTTTTATTTTCATCTCAGTATATCACATTGTTTACCCTTTTGTTTACCTTTTTTTTTTCGTTTAGGTACTGCTAGTATTTCTGTTAACTAATAGCTAACTCATCTAGCAAACTAGATCCTATATGATTTTTTTTTTTTTTTTGTAATCTATTTTTAAATTGTCATCATTGAGAAAATAGTTGATAGAGATTGTAGATACTTTTATATTTATATTCAAATAAATTTGTATTTATTTATTACTCTTACAATTAACGATTCAAATATTTTTAGTGTTTAAATTAGTAATGTTCCATTAGCATTTTAAAGAAGTTTACAATGTTTTTTGTTTTAAAAGTTTACGGTGTGATTTTTTTTTTTTTTTTTGCAACTATTAATTGTGATTGAGCAGTAGCATTGCTAGAAGAAAAAATTTCAATTTTTTTTTTTTTAATAATCGAAAAGAATGAATTATATGTAATAAAGTATTATGTAATTGTAAAGTATGAAAATTCGATCAGAAATTATTTATCAGAAACTTTTTCAAAAATTTTCATTTTAATCCACATGCTTCAGGGAAATTATTTCATAGCAATCATTTAGATTACTTTTACAAATAATTTATTATTTAACATTATTGCATTACTCTTTGAATGTTGTTTATATTAATTTATATTGATTAATTTAGAAATGAAAATTTCAGGCAGATTTAGAATACTTGTGTGCTTATCAAGATAATAGCTATGTAATAAAATTAAGTAATAATAAACTTAATTCGATAATTATTTTACTCACTGAAATTTTTAAAGTTTAATTAACCAATACATTTTTCACAATTATTTTTAATTGTTTTATATTTTTTTTTCACAAAGAAAAAAGTTTTCTAAACGGCTGTTCATTGAGGAAAAAAAAAAGGAAAGAGCAAAAAATTAAAAATTGTTGAAACTGATAGATTGATGAGAAGTATTGTTAAAGTATTTATTTCTGTTATCTATTATCAGTATATTAGATCAATGCATTAGTTATAAGAGTATTTCAAAAAAGAAAAAAAAAGTAAATTTAATAAAAACAGCGACTTTTTCTTTTCTTTTCGTGTGTGTGTGTGTGTGACTGAAATTGTTATTAAAATTTTGACAAGTTGAAAATATTTCAATCATTTCTTTTACTTTCTTATCATTCATTTCAAATTTTTCTTAAATAATTAGAAATGAAAAGTTTTTTTAGTGAGAAAAAAAAAACTGAGAATTTTATTTTTCAAGAGAACTTTAAGAAATTTATCAAATATTAAGAATTATTAATTAAATTTATTTATTTAAATGTTTTTCTTATTTGTTTTTTTCTTCAATAGATATTTTTAATTTTTTGTTTATGTGGTAAAATTAGTGTTGAAAAAATGTTAGCATTTTATATTGATTATATAATATATTTATATAATTTAATACAATATATTTTCTTTTTTATTTTATTAAAATAGGCTAAAATAGAGTGCAACAATAAACAAACAAACAAACAACAAATAAACAAACAAACAAAATGCCATTTAAACCGGTGGAACATCCAAAATGTCCAAAATGCGGTAAATCAGTGTATGCTGCAGAGGAAATGAATGCTGGTGGTTACAAATGGCATAAATTTTGTTTCAAATGTGGTTAGTCTGTTTTTTTTTTTTTTAATTAATTTTTGTTTGATTAACTTTTAATCTTTTTTTTTTATTTTTTGTTTTTGTTTTTGTTTTTATTTTTTGGTTAAATAATAAACATTAAATAACAATAATTATGTAACCACACAAATAATATAGCATGACAATTGAAATTAACAACTCATTCCAATTAAATTTTACAGCTGAGAACCACTTACTATATTTAATTGTGAAATAAAGTTTTTTTTTCCAAAAAAAATACATAAATTACGGAAAATATTAAAAATTTTGAGCATTGACGAATTTTCATATATCTTAGCTTAATTCTATTTAAAAAAAATAGCTAAAAAAAAAGTAGGATTATTTTATTTTTCTAATAAAATCTTTATTTATTCTCTTCTATTTTCTATTCATCTCAAACTGTTAGCAATCTTTAAGCTAGTGATTCAATTTTTTACATCGCATTATTTCTATGGTAATATTATTCGTAAGAATTTGAAAAAGTAAGTAATTTGCTTACTCTGACAGAGTAAAAAATTGGACAAAGTAAATAACTTACTTACTTTGTGTTCGTTTATTTGTTTTTGAACTTTATTTTGGAAAAAAAAAAAAGTTTTCGTGAATTTGTTGTTTGTGAATTTGAGGATAAATTGACAAATTGGTAATATCTTTTTAAATATGCTCGAAATATTATTTTTGACTTAACAATAAGTCATGCATCGATGAAAAGAATTACATTTGTTTAATTTTAACAAATGCTAATACTATTGAAAGGATTATAAAGTATTACTGAAATGTGAAATTAAACATAAAACTATATTATAGCTATTTTAACAATAAATTTTAACTTTTACTTTTTGAGAATAAATCTAAACCTAATCGTTTTCAAATAATCACAATTAATCAGTTTAATCGTTATCAGAGTTAACAACTGTTTACAGCTATGTGTAACAAATTACTTGACTCAACCAATTGTTGTGAGCATCAGGCTGAATTATACTGTAAACAATGTCACAGTCGAAAATATGGTCCTAAGGGGATCGGTTTTGGAATAGGTGCCGGTGCATTAACTATGGATACCGGAGAGCATTTCGGAAATACGGAAGTGGAAATGACGTTAGTCGTTGGTCCATTCATTTTTTGTGAAAAATTTAATAATAATTATTACTGTCTAATCATTTTAAATTTAATTTTTTTTTTTTGTTTTAACTTTTTGCATTAATTTTTCTGTGATATAATTTTTATTATTATTTGTTTTTATTGCATTATTAAATGATCATACTAACCAAATTTTCTTTTTTTTCTCTTTTTTTTAAAAAAAGAATAATATTAAATGTCATAAATTTATGCAATAATTTACTTATTTATTAGATACCATATTTATTATTTCAAATAATAGCAAAAATTTATCAATTTAATTATTAAAATTAAAAAATTACATTTCCATGTCTTTCCACATTTTTTAACACATACTAAAAATTGTTTTTTCTTCTAACTAACTAAACGGCATGTTATATAACTAATAAATTAATTATAATATTTATGAATGAAATTACTTATCTAATTAAATAAGAATATTATGTCTGTGAGATAAAAATTTTAAAAGTTTCTTTTTCATTTTTTTAAAACTAAGAATATAGCACTAAATTTTATAGCTAAAGAAAGAAAAATCTTTGCTAATCAATATTTTAAAGTAATTTTTTAAAAATATTATCAAATTTATACCTTTTTAAATTACCATTTATAAATTTCTATCAATTTGCATGTTTTCCCGACATTACTATCATTTCCAAACTTTCTTTCTCCCTCTCTCCCTCTCTCTCTCTTCTTTCACCTTTCATTTACAGAACTGTGTAACAAATTGTTGGATTCAACAAATGTAGCACCACATGAAGCTGAACTATACTGTAAACAATGTCACGGTCGAAAGTTTGGCCCAAAAGGTGTTGGCTTTGGTTTAGGTGCTGGCGCTTTAACAATGGACGATGGTTCAAGATTTGCCAATAAATGAATTTCAAATGGTGGTCAGATAGATGTAGCAACTATTTTTTATTTTAAAAACATTTCAAAAAACACTTAACTAATAAGTCTAACAAATCTTTTGGCTAAATTTACTAAAGCTTCTAATACTTCTGAAATATATCAATTCTTCCATACTAAATTTTAACTATATTATATATTAAATTATCATAAATTATCTTAAAATTATTTTACAATTTATTCAACTTTCTCATTTACTAAATTTGCTTAAATTTTTGTTAATTTTTTTTTTTTGGTTAAAATTATATTTTTATTTCATCTTTTTTTTCTATTTTTTTTTCCAGGAATCGACCGATGACAGCGGAAGCATTCACAGCACCAATCAATCCAACTCATAAATAAATAAGAAATGAGAAAAAATGATTCCAAAAAAAAAAAAAATATTCATTTGAAATACATTTGACATATAATTTCATACAATAAGCTATATGACAATGACCTGTTGACTCTCGTATTTTTCAGTGTTTTCTTGATGATTTATTATAAAATTAATTTTTGTTTTTTTTTTTTTTTATAAAATTTAATTGCTCTTCAAATGTTGACCTTTTCAAAGAGTTATATTTTAATTTTTTCACCATATGATAATAAATCTATGTGTGAATAAAAATTTTTTTCTGATTATAATCTAAAAAGTTTTACAGCTTTCCTTTTTTTTTTTCTTTAAAAATTATTTTGCAATTTTTGTTTTAAATTTTTCTTTATCTTAGTAAGAATTATGTTTTCGGCAGAAAAAAAGAAAATAATTCAACAAGAAATTTAGCAAAAATTTTCATTGATGAGAAAAAAAAAAACAAAAAAGAAACAACATTTAGAATTAAAATGAAAAATATTATTGTACTGTAATATTTAGAAAAAGATGAAAATGTTTTTTAATAAAATTCTTTGGTTGCTTCTTCACAATTTCCTGCAAATTGTTTTTCGGTTATTTTGATGAATGTTCAGACTGATTATACCCATATTGTAAACTTTATTAATTGATGTTGATGGTATGGCGAATCGATCAGTAACAATGCATCGCTGCAATTAAAATTTATAAAATATATCGATTTAATTAATTTTAAATATGTCATAAAAAGTGAATAATGGCTTAATTAAATTAAATCAAACAAATTGTATTCAAAAAATTATCAAAAAATAACAAATTAGTAATGCATGTAAACTATAGTTAGAAATAATTATCTAATTATTTAAGAATAAATTAATGATAATAAAATTTACGCTTATATAAAAACAGGAATTTTAACGCTAATCATTGCAAATAAGAATGCAAAAAAAGACATAAAATTGCTGAATTTGTTGAAAAAATCTAAAAGATTTAATTTTAATAAGTGTAAAATTTTGCCAGAATAATTTTAAATTGAGCCATAATGCGCCATCATCCCTTTTTAGTAATACTTAAATTTGCATTAATCATTCATAAATTTCTTTTGTCCGTCCTTTGTCAGTAATAAATTCACATTGCACTCAGTTATTTTGGAAATTTTATTAATAAATAAGTTCTCCTTATAACTTAATTTTGAAAGAGAGGAAAAAGAAAACTGGAAAGACAATAATTTAATCATTTCACTGATACTAAAAATTTATCACTACAGTACAACATATTATATATAAATATTAAGTAGTAACTGTTATCAGTGATGTGATAAGATTTTCTACATCTAAACTATAACATACATTTGTTAAATTATCTTTTTGTTTTATACTTTAATTTTCACTCAAAAAACGACAATTTAAACAAATAAATATGTTTTTCTTTTCGCAAAACAAAGAGAGAGAGAGAAAGACTATTTTATCTTAATTTAAAAGATCAAAAAAAAAAAATTCTAAAAAAAGATAAAAAAAAAAAACAAACCGTATTAACCTTGCCCTGATAACAATGATGTCTGATAATCAAATATGTTTCAATGCTACCCCATTCTCTCTCTGTTCCACTAATTTCAAAGAATCCATCATGTTGTGGTTGTGTTGAATTTAGTTTATCATCAAATAATGAAATTGAATGCAAGATGATACGTTCACATATTATCAAATAATAACTTATGAATATCACTAATATTAATAAAATATATCAATTATAATAATTACAAACAAAAAAAAAAAAACATAATTTTTCACGTTGTTTTCTTTTTTTTACGTATCGTAAAATGGCAAGAAAAAATTTCAATTAATGTTTTTAAAGTTATTTAAAAAGATATATGAATTTATAATTGAATTAATTTAAAAAAAAAAATTACCAGCATCTTTTTCCCAAAGTTCAATATGAACATCTAAGGTATGTACATTATTTTCACATCCAATTTCGCCTTGCACCGTAATTTGTTGCTGTTTTCCGAATAAGAAAAATCCGTTGATAAGTGATAAGAATAGCATAAATATCACTAACACTTCCATAAATGCTTATAAAAGTAAAATTTTTCATAAATATAATTTACTTAAATAATTTAAATGATTCTAATGTTTATTATCGAATTTAATTAGCAAAAATTAATAGTTATTAAAATTTTAAATTAGCCAAAAATGGATATCATTGGTCATCTTTGCTTGTCTCATAACTTTCACATGTATTTCATTTATTCAAGTATTACACTTACTGTATCGAATTATTTTCGATTAATTTAAAATACTATAAAAGTTTTAAATGAATTTTGTATAAATTATTTTTACTTTTTGATTTGATATCATTTAATTTTCATTAAAAAATAGCTTAATTTATTTATAATTGCACCTTTTTTTTTCTTTTTAATTTCAATGATTGTTTGCAATTATTGAAATTATCACTTTTTCTTTTCTTTTATAATTATTTAACAATTTTAAAAAAATATATATATAAAAACCGTCCATTTTTAATTTCAAAGAATAAAAATTATTCACATTTTCAATTTGAAAAAAAAATTTTACAATTTTATAATTAATTGCAACTGTTGACATCTGATAATATCTTTTTGTATGATAATTTTACTATGATTTCATGAAACATCAAACTTAAAAATAGCTAATTAATATGTATTAAGTAAGAATTAAAAAAATGAAAAATTTTTTACAAACAAAAATTATTGACTGAAAATAGCGACGAAATTTGCAAAAAAAAAGAGAAAAAATATTTTAAATAAACTTTTGTTTTTGTTATTGTCTACTAAAGTGGCATACGAATTAACAAATAAAAGCAATTTATCGTCAAAATATCCTTTTCTAATATAAACAATAATTTTTATGCTTTTTTTGATGACATTTAATTTGATGAAGGAAATAATTTCAATTAATAATATAATATTTATGTTATTTTGTTGCTTTTTTTTTGGATAGTTTAAAAATTATCTAGAAATTTTCCCTTTTATTGCCAAAATATTAGTAATAGCTAAGGTAATTTAATTACAAAAAAGAAATTTTTATTTTAATTTTACAAATCGACTTTTTTTTGTAAAGCACTTTAATTTCTCACTTTTTTGTTTTTAATTGAAAATGTTTTCAGCAGTATAAATGGTATAAAATTTATCAATACAGATCATATCAACCTAATTGCTTAATTAATTACTTGATTATTGTTTATTTGCTTAATTAAATTAGTTTATATCCGAGTTACTATTGCTAGTAACATTATATTATTCACACTATGAAAATGAATTTCCAATTATTTATGAATATTTTTAACGTTCAAAAAAAAAAAAATCAATTCATTATTTAGATTAAAATCAATTAATTATACTTTTACTTTCATCAAATACAAATCATTTAAATCATTTTATATGCTATTTTATATCTTGCAAATTGCAAATTATAGGTAAAGTAATGTAATAATCAAATGATTTAGTCTTTTTTTTTTTTTCAATTTAATTTCACAACTAAAATGATTACAGTACATACATACGACAGCGATAAACATTATTGCAAATTACATGGATGAAAAATTTTCAAATATTCTAAGTGAAGTTTAAATATGAAATGATTACTTAATTTCTGTTAAAATTCATCACACTCTTAATTTTCGACAAAGATATGTTTCACTCAATGACAATTTTTCTTGTGATTCATTCGTGCAATATTTAAACTAACAATTCCCATTTTATAAATTTTACCAATTTGATCATTTGGAATTGGAAAATCGTCCGTAATGATACAATTCTGTAAAAAGCAAAAAAATAAAATAAAATTCAAATAGATCAAAATTTTTGATCAAAATAGATTTTTTTTATTTTAATTATTGAAATATTTTAGGTAAAAGTAAAATCTTTTTTTTTTTCTTATTCTTTAATCATTTCTATCATATTATTTTGATGGCAAATTTATTTAAATTATTACAATTAAAGTTAAAATAATTAATTAATTAACTGATAATTAAATTATGATTACTCATTCTCCAAAAGAATTACCTCAGAAAGTATTCCATCTTCGCAGTTGTGAATAATTCTCAAATATGGCTCAATACTACCAACTTCACATTCCTCACCATAAACCGTAAAATATCCTTTGTTATCACTTTTAGTTTTATTCAATGAATCATCTGGGTCAACTGAAATTTTCAAAAATTTGCCCTCAAAGCTTTCTTTCTTTCCTTTTTTTTTGGTTTTTACAAAATAATTATAGCAAATATAATATTCGCAAATTAAAAGATATGAATTTGAAAAAAAAAAGTTTTTTTCATGTATTATTATAAAATTATTTTTTTGTACAAATCATTATAAATTAACAAATTGATAATGAATAGTGTGCAATTTGAAATTAAGAAATTAGTTAAAAACTAAATTGTAATCATAATGAATGCAAACTTACGTGTATCATGTTCACGTAACTCAACAATTACATTTTTTAATGCTCGTTCACCACAACCTAACTGTCCTGTTACCGTAACATGACTGGTAGTACAGATTGCATTCAGGAATGATGGTAATCCGGCAAATGATAACAGGAAAATTATAGCATATAGCATTTAGTCTATGAAAATCACATTTTTAAACTTTATAGTATACAAATTTTTTTTTTAAATATTTGATGATATTTTTAAATGAATAGTTATAGTAAAAAACAAAATGATAAAAAAGTTAAGTGTAAAATGTTGAATTAAAATTATAACTCTCGCAAAGTGATATTAAATTAAATAGAAAACATAATTGAAATTATGTGACACTTTTTGTAATACTATGACAATAATTTCCTAAGATTAAATTTAAAAAATTACAGTGAAGAAATTGTCATTTAGTAATTAATTATGACATTTCAATATTAAAAAAAAAAAAAAAAGAAGCTGTAATAATAAAATTTTTGTTTACTTATGCTTACTCACAAATGTTTACGTTATCAAAAGTACATGTAATGAGCAATTTCTAGAAGAAATTCTTAGCTAATATTAAATTTTAAATTAATACCAATTAATTTTTTAATATATCAAAAATTTTTAGTCAAATTTTAATGAATATCATTTTACAATAAATAATAAATAATGAAAAATATTTAAAAAATTAAGTATGTTTGATTCTATCAAACATTTCAGTTTCTTTCTAAAACGATTATTGAATTAAACTATAAAAATAAAAAAAAATTATGCCAATAATTAAAAATTAGAAATTTTAATAAGAAGGTAATTTCTAAATAAAATAAATTTGTTGCAAAATGTTAAAAATATCCTTAATTAATTATTTAATTAAATCATAATTAAAAAAAAAAAACAAATTGAAAAAAAAAATTTAAACATAGAAATCAATTGGCATCGAATCGTTTTGTAGTGTAAATGAATGAATGAGTGGGTAAAATTATATGATGGGTAAAATGTTACCGTCAAATAACCTGTTTTAAAAGAGGAAAGAGAGAGGGAGAGAGAGAGGGAGAGGGAGAGAGAGAAGGAAAAACAGTAATGTGAATTCTTTACGTGGCGTTTGCATTGATAATTGTTTAGGTCATTTTTTATAATTGTATTGTAATTTCATACATTTTAAGTATATTTTGTCAAACAATCATTATTAATTGTTTAATTAGTTTGAGAGAAAGAAAAAAAAAACAATAAATCTAATTATTTTCACTAAAAATAATAATACAAAGATTTATAATATTATATATTATTTATCATTGATTAAAATAATACTTTAAAATTAATTTTATTAACTCAAACAATTTTTTTTTGTTTGCACTTTCTATTCAAAATTTTTTGATGAAATTAGAAATTAGAAAAAAAATGAAATAAATTTCTTTAATTTATCTAATCAACTTTAAATGTAATACTTATGAAAGAGAAAATATAAATTGAATTTTTGGTAAAAACATACTTTGAGACTACTCGAATAAATGAATTTAATACCGATAATTCTAAAACTACTTCTTGAAAGTCCAACTAATTAATTAAAATAAATTTTTAAATTATAGCAAATAATACTTTTTCTTTGTTTCTTGCTGAAAAATTATTTGAAAAGAATTATTGTTTTTTTTTTGCTTGTATATTACTATTCGAAATTTGTAATAATAAAACAAGAATTAATTAAGTAAATAATTAAAGCTATTAAGATATGATTTTAAATTATTAAAAGTAATATTTTTGTTTTAGTGTTGAAAAATTAATTGAAAAAAAATTTTTTTTCTTGTTTACATGTTATTATTAAAAATTTGATAACAAAATAGGAGCTAATTAACTAATTAATAGCTAATTAATCAAGTAGCTAGAAATACTAACACATAATTTTAAATTATCGAGTTTAAATTTAACATTTTTTGTTTCTGTGTTGGAAAATTATTTGAAAAGAATTTCTTTTTCTTTCTTTTCTTTCTTTTCTTTGCATATTAATCACTAAAAATTTGTAATAATAGCAAAACAGGATGATAGTGATTGATGTTTTAAATGTTGAATTCAACCAATAAATATTAATTTTTTTATTTTATTACTTCCAAATTATATTAGCATTAAACAGAGTAATAATAATAATAAAGTAATAATAAAAAGTAATAATAATAATAGTTATAGCAAATATATATTAATGACTACAAATATCACATGCGAGAAAAGAAAAAATAAAAAGAATTTTCATTTTTAATTTCATCCAATTCAAACGCAATTCTTTTGTCGTCTCTTTACAATATTTAAGCTTACAATGCCCATATTGTAAGTGTCACCAACATATTTTCGTGGTATTTCATATCGATCTTTTATTGAACATTTCTATGAAAGAAAAATAGGAATGGAAATATTAAATTTAATTTTTAACTAAATTAAAATGAAATTTAATATAAAAAACTCTTTTTTATATTATTTCTTTTAAATCCTATTTATTATTAATAAAATTTGCAATTAATACTTTATACAATAAAATTTGCAATTAATACTTTATACAATAAAATTTGCAATTAATACTTTATACAATAAAATTTGCAATTAATACTTTATACATTTTATACTGTAACTAATAAAAGTTTCATTTCCTTTCATTCTTATTTTCATTTTCCTATTTATATAAACTGTTAATTAATAATTAGTGTTATCAATTTTTAATAATAATTTGTAATAATGTCATTTCATTTAAAAAAAAAAAAGAAAAAAAATAATATTTGTATCAGTTAAAAATGATTTTAACAAAAAAAAGAGCGAAAAAAATTTTATAATTCAATAAAATTGAAACTTGAAAGATAAAGTATAAGAGTATAAATGTGTTTTACAGGTAATATTACTTTTTGTTAGTTAAAAAAAAAATAAAACTAAATTTACCGGATTAATGACACCATTATCACAGCTGTGTATAATTATTAGATACGGTTCAATATTATTCACTTCATTTTCCTGTCCAAATATTCGGAAACGTCCTTGATTATCCGTTTTTGTCGTATTTAGCAAATCATCCGGATCCACTAGAAATTAAATTTACAATTTTATATCATCATTTTAATCATAAATTATTATATAAGTTGTCATTATAATAATTATGCAGAAAAAAAAAAGACAACTAATAATAATTTAAGTGAAATATAAATAATTCAATGAAAAATGAAAGGATGGAATTTTATTAAATATCTGATTAAAATAAATAAATTATAATTAAACATGAAAGTGACTAACAGGTGTCACGTTCCCATAGTTGTATTTCAATATCTTTTTGTGACCGATCACTGCATGCCACCTGTCCGGTGACAGTTATATTTTTCATACTTCCTGCAGCAAATGTTGAAACTACCGCAACACTCAACAATATTACACAATTAATAAACATAACTGAAAGAAATTTTATTATTTTTCATCTTTAACTTTTTTTTCTGAATTTTATATATTTTTCAAAAAGGCGAATTATCAATTTCAATGGTAAAATTGAAAAAAAAAATTAAATAAACAATAAAATAATTTAATACTTTAAACTAACATAAAGAGAAATTGAAAAAAAAAAAATATTTCATTAGTTTTATTTGATACATTTGAAAAAGTTATGAATAATAATTGATAAAATTATTAGCAATTAAATTATGCTTGTGAAGAATATTAATATTCGATAAAAATATTGCAAATAGTAAATAATTTCTTTGCAGCACTTACTTTTTAATAACTTTTACCTCTGAAAAATAACTTTATCCTGTTGAAGTAATCATATTATTGTAATATAATTTTAAATAATTTCAATGAAATTCTTTCTCATTACTTTATCTCTTTGTTAAAATAAAATAAAAGTTACTAACTATTAGTTGAAAAAAAATATTATTTTAAACATAATTTTTTTATTAGAATATATAATTAAATGGATAATATTTAAAAATTGTGATTAATCATTTTCTCTGATTAAAACAAGTTTGAAATAATTGCTGCTATTATTATAGCATTATTAAACTTTTTTTAAAAAAGTGAACTAGAAAATAATTCTTTTTACAATGCATATTAAAAATTCATAAATGAGAAATTATTCGTTTTTCGTTTTTTTTTTTTTTGTTCGATTAAGTATTAATAATTTAAAATTTTTTAAAATGATGCCAAGATAATTGTCTCTAATTTATTAAAAAAAATTCCTTTCATTATTTTTGTTAAAAAAATTCTTCTACAGTGAAATGGAAAGAGAGAGAGAAAGAGAAGAGAGAGAGAGAAAAAAAACGATTTAATATTATAAATGTTTTTTTTTTTCTATCAATGTTTAAAAAAAGACATTAAAATTATTCGATCTTTTATTATTCATAGTAAAATAATTAATAATGTATTGATTGATTGATTTTTTTTCTTAATTTTGACTTTATTTATTAATTTTTAATTTTTGTTGAAAATATGGGAAGAAATGAAAGTAAAGAGAGAAATGATAGTCAAAAGTTGGGAAAGTTTTGGAAATGTTAAAATTGTAGTAAAGAGATAAATGTTTCCAATGTAATTTGAGAAAAGTGATAAGTGAAGTGATCTATGATTTAATGATAAATGTTATTGATTGAACTGATTGTGTTTCTTTGCAAACACAAAAGTGAATCGATGTTTTGGAGTTTTTTATTTCTAAAATAATGAAAAATGAGGCGAATAGACCCTCAAACATAAATTCAATTCGGTCTATTCTCTACAATTTCAATTTTTTAGTAAAACAATTGCTCAAGTTTTAAAAACAGAAAGCAAATAAAATAAAAAAAAATGAAAGTATTAAGTTTCATCCATATTAGATATGATAATGATAAAATAAACCTTAAATAATCATTCTTGACAAAACTGATAACCATTTATTTCTACACGATTGTTTTGCTAATCATTGTATCAATTACTATATAAAAATCATGATTATATCATATATTATGCATATTATATCACTGATTTCATGGAAAGATAATAATAATAATAATAATAATAATAATAATAATAATAGTAATAATAATAATAATAATAATAATAATAATAATAATAATAATAATAATAATAATAATAGATTAATAGAAGACAAAAATGCAATAATTATGATTTAATAATAATTTTATTACATTATATAATTGTTATTATACATTCAACTCATTAATTTTAATTATTAACTAAATTTAACAAATAAATTAAGAAGAAACTGTAAATTATTATTTTTTTTTTTAAGAAAAGAAAGAAAAAGTGGTAAATTCTGAAAAATATAATTGTGGGTAATTTCTTCCACATTATATAATTAAATCCAAAAAAAAAAAGTTGTTTGCAAAAAATATTTTATTAATAACCAAAATTAAATAATATTAATATCCTTAATTTCCTTTCATTTCAAAGGAAAAAAAAATCAATTATCGATCTTTTCGTGATCGATTGATTGCATCCATTATCGATCATCATTCTTTACATTGTTTCTTATGATTCTTTCCGGCAATATTTAGACTTACAATATGCATATCATATGTTTTACCAATATATTCTTTTGGAATTGGATATTCATCAGTGATTGTGCAATTCTAGAAATCAATCAATCAATAATGATAATCATAATATCATCAAATTATTATTAATGATATTAATGATCAATGAAATATTAAGATTTTATACTCTATTATTAAAGAAATTTTCTCAATTTTTCTTTATATATATGTATCTTATAAATACTACCGTTATTTATTAAAAGCATTGCAAAAAAATAAATTTTAATAATATAAATTTATTTTCAAAAATTATTTTGCTTAAAATCAGAGAAAAAAATAGATAAAATTTAATAACTAACCGTTTTAATAATACCATTATCACAACTATGCTTAATGATTAGATAAGGTTCAATTGCAGTTACTTCCTTATCTTCACCGTATACTTTAAAAACTCCTCTACCATTTGAAGTGGTAGAATTTAATAGATCATCAGGATCACCTAAAATAATTCAAATATTTTTATCATATCAATCATTACTCTCTGCTTTGATTAGTAAAAAAAAGAAGGAAATAACGATTTTAAATTATTTTTAATTTTTTATTTTTACTACCAATAAATTTGCTGGTACTATTTTATTATATTAATATCACATAAATATAAATTGAGAAAAAAAAAAAACTTATCAGTATCCTCTTCCCAGAGTTGAACTTCGACATCACGTACTGACTTTGTGCCACACGCAAGTCGACCAGTTACAGTGATACCTTGAATTGAGCCAATAACGCCTGCATTTGCGCAAAATGCAACAAAACCAAGTAGTAGAAATATTCGCCAAAACATTATTCTGTATGAATTTTTGAAATCAATGAAAATAATTAATTTAAAAAAAAAAAAAAAAGCAGCGATAACTCAAATATTAATGTTATTAATATGAAATTGATGTGATAATCAAATTATACATAATGCTAATAAATGATCTAAATTTTTAATTTAAAAAAAAAAATTCACTCTTTATGTCAGTAATAATTAAATAATTTGATTAAAATGATTCCTCATAACACTTCAAAAAAAAAAAGTGTGAAAATATTTTAATTTTTTTTTTTTCATAAGCAATTTTAAAGTTTGCTGTTACATATTAATTTCAATCATTTTTTTCTTTATATTGCATTAAATAAAATTAAAAAAAAATACTCAACAAAAGTACTTTATATTAAAGAGAAATTAAAATAATAACAATTCAAAGAGTTTATTTATTTCATTTTTAAACATTTCATTTTTTTTTACGAAGCTTTTTCAGTGCTTTCTTAATTTTTTTCTTTTTCCACTTTGCCTTCTTTCCTTTTTGATTAGTAAATTATCTTATTAAAATTGATTTAAAAATTTTAATTTCTTTTATGAAGCAAACTTTTTCACATATTCAAGTAATCATTCCTTTTGAAATCATTTTTCTTTCTTAATTTATTATTTAAAAATCTTTCGAATATGATTGATGAATCATATTAAAAACATTCTTTTCTTTTTTTTTTTTTTGAATCATTTAAATATGATTTTTAACTAAATGAAAAGCCATAAAACAAAATGCGAAAGAAAAAAAAAAACGAAAAATTTCCATCGTTTATTTATTTCATTCATATATTTTTCTCATTCAAGGGCAAAAGAAAATTTTTGTATGTTATAACTGGTTTTTGCATAGAATTAAATATTATCAATAATACTATCATTTTGTATTCTTAATATGATTTAATCATTATAATCATTTATTATCATTATCATATGTTATTTTATTATATTAACATTAATTACATTTAATTATACATTTTTGAAGTAACAAATGTATGTATATGAAAAGAAAAATACAATATCACTTAATCAGTAATCAATGATAATGCTCTTAGACATTTCGTTAGAAATTTATTAAAAATAAAAATGATAGAAGAAAACTTCATCAATTTGATTAAAGTTAAATTAATTTAAGATTTAATTTTGAATTTGTTTTTTCAAATTAGTTTGTTCAGTTATTTTCATCTAAAATATTCAACAAAAAAGAAAAAAAGAGAGAAAATATGACAGAAGAAAAGCTAAATGAAATTATTTTTTTGTTAATTTCATCTATGCATTTTTTAAAGTTCGTTTATTTCATAAATATTAGAAAAAAATTTTTTTTGCAAACACATAGAACAGAAATTATCATTGTGGAATGAATGAATGAATGAATGAATGGGTGTGCAAATTGATTTTAATTTAAAAAAAAAAAAAAAGCGACCGTTACGGCTAATTCTAAACGAAACATTTTTAATTCATTTCATGTCTCTCTCATTTCTCATTTTCTCTGTCCTCAAAAAAAAAAAAAAAATATAAAAAAGTGAAGGATGTAAAATAAACACTTTTATAAATTATTAAACTTGTAAAATTAACGAGCAAAATTGTAAAATACATACAACATTTTTCAATAGCAGTATTTGCTAGCTAACTAACTAAGCTAGTTACTTAGTTAATTAATTAGTTAGTTAGTTAGTAGTAGAGAAATAATCATTTATTATAAATGATATCTCTTTTAAATCATTTAACAACAGTGAAATTTGAGTGAAAATTAAAAGTAAAAATAAAATAAATAATGTTAGTGTTTAAGAATTAGTGAAGCATTGTAAATTATTTATCGAATTTAAAAAAATTTTTTTTTCATAACATATTAGAATTACTCATTTTTGTGTAATAAATAAATTGAAAACAGACAAAAACTCTGAATGAAATTGAATGTCAGGTGGCACTCATTCTTATTCTTACTTTCAATCATAGTTATATGAGCTAAATCACTATTTATGAGAGGAATTTGGGATTACAATTTATCAGTCTTATCAGTATGAATCTGTATGTAGGTGTATGTGTGTGTGTGTGTGTGTGTGTGTGTGTGTGTGTGTGTGCATGTATGTGTGTGTGTGATATTAATTTGTAAAATGAATGAATGTATGTTTGTTTAAGACATGTAGTGAATTCATTAAATTTATTTATCAGTTGTTATCACATCTGTTTATTATTCAAAATCCAATAGCAAAAAGTTATTTTCAATGAAATTAAATTCCAATTGAAACAAACAATGAAATTTTTATGAAAAATGTTAGTATTAATGACTAATAGATAAAATATGTTAACAAATGATTACAATTAGACATGCAAATAACACAGTAATAGAAAAAGAAATTATGAATTTCAGACTATAATTAAAATGTAATAAAAATATTATATTAATTAAATTTCTTATCAAAAAATTTATTACAATGGGTGATAAGTGATGTAATCATTTAGTAGTGCAATTGATATATTTAATAAATTCATATCCAACTTTTTCATTTTCAAATTAAAATGATTAAATAGAAATATAATTTATTAATTTAGTTTTACAGATTATTCATATGTCTTTAATTTTTTGATTGCAAATAACTTGGAAAATGATAACAAACTCACTTTATAATTTACGTATTAGAAGAAAACATTTTGAAAAAAAAAAAAATTTTTTTTTTCAAGTTTAATATTTATAAATGTAAATGAAATTTCTTTTGAATAATTTAAATTTTACACAAATACTCCTTCAGTTTTATGTTTTAATGGAGCACATAGTTAGACTTTAATCTAAAAATATTTCGTTAAATTTATTTTTGAACCAAAAAAAAGGGAAAAAAAAAAGGATAAATGATAAATATAAGCACGAAGTCGATTATTCATGAATAGTTGTCATTAAATTCAAAATGAATACATTCAGTTTTTCTCCCATTTTCATTGCAAGCAATCATAAATGCGTGAATAAAATATTTTAAAATTTCTTTTTCCAATTAAATATATATCGTATTTTATTTTTCACTAACATTTATAATTTTAAAAACTAATTTTACATATTTATTTTAAAGTGCAATTTTTTTTCCAACAATTTTTCTAGTTTAATAGATAGATGAATGAATATTTAAGTTTTATTTTTCTTCAAAACTTTTCTTTAAAGAAAGGAAACCATTACTTACTCGTAAAGTATGAAAATTCTTCTTACAGTTTGATCGTTTTTTTTTTGTTTTTTGTTTCTCAAATTAACAAATATTTACCAAAATTCATAAATAAATTCCAGGTGGTGAAATAAAGTAATTTCAAATTAATATTAATTAATATGGGTAGTAAAATCAACTAGGAATATTTATAAATAATTCATTTTGAGTCTTATCCTAATTTTTAATTAATTTGAATTTCAAATAGATAAACCTTTTAATGAATATAAACTATCTTTACAGGGTTTTTTGTAACAAATCATTAACACACCAATAATATGTTACATTATTTGAATTAAAAATGAAATCATTTAGATTTTATAATATTATCATTGTTTGTTTGACCTTTGACATTTCTAAATAGAATGACAAATAGCAATTGATTGAACATTTCAACATTATCTGTTTGTTAACTGATCAATCACTTTATTCAGAAATAGAAATTAAACAAAACATTGATTATCAGTCATATCAAAAGAACGATCATTTCATTTTTTTTGCAATTACAAAGGTCAAACAGAAGATAAACAAATAGTATAGCATATCGCAGCTTATTAACATCGATTTGACCTTTGCTAACAAAAAAAAAATTTGATTTTCGGAATTTTTTTTTGCTTGTTTAAAAAAAAAAAAAACTGTTTAAAAGGTTTTTTTTTGTTTTTTATTTTTTTAATGACACTTCTCTTTACGCTTTTTAGTAGCAACCGCTAAGTCCACTATGCCTAGATTGTATACTTTTCCTTGATATTGTTTCGGTACATCGAAACGATCAATTATTTCGCATCTCTATAATTAATAAAAAAAAAAGTTTCAAAATTATAAATTCTTAATTTTATGCATTAAATTATTAATAATAAGTAATATTTGATAGGTTAAAGGTTATTTCATATAGTTTTCGTATATGAAAAATGATGTAATAAATAACTTTTTAAGTCTTACCACATCATGAACACCATGCTTGCAAAAGTGATGCATTATTAAATATGGCTCAATATTTCGTATTTCTCTTGCTTGGCCAAATATCTTGAATTGGCCACTGTTATTCGTATATGTCACATTCAATTTATCATCTAGACCAACTATAAAAGCAAAAATTTACAATTACTATTATTTAAAAAAAAAAAAAAAAAAAAAACTAACTGGTATCTGCTTCCCAAAGTTCCACTCTTACATTAGAATAATAATTTCGACCACAGCTTAATTCACCCGTTACTGTGATATTCTTCTTTCGTCCAAATAAACCATAAGCAATTGATGAAATAATTAATAATAATAAAAGTTGAGAATGAAACATTATTGATCCTTAAATATTTCAAATTAATTATCATAAAATATTGTTAATATTAAATTTACAAATTAATAATTAAATAATATCATTGATTAAGATAATTTCGATTTTTTTCTAAGTGATAAGTGATAAAGTATAAACAGTAATACTAATAAAATTAGGAACATCACAAGTGAAGAAAAATAAAAAAATATTTGAAGTTTTGTGTATCTGAGAGAGAGAGAGAGAGCGAGAGAGAGAGAATGACAGAGAGAGAATCATTACACAATGGTTTAAAATTGTTGAAACAAATGATGAATCGATCAATTCAGTATAAAACAAGCTAATCTTTGTGAAGAAGTAATTTATCTGCGAAAAAAAAATTTTTAATGGTTGTTGATTATTTTACTAGGTTAATTCTTGTATTCCAATTTAAATATTTATTAAATGGTATAAACTTTCTGTGATCATTTTAATTTATATGAAATCATTTCTCTCTTTTTACCTGGCTTATATTAGCGGTATATTCATTTGAAGTTATCATAAGATAAATGCTAATCAAATTTTACATTTCGTAGCAAATAATGATAATGCATCAATTTTTTTTTTTTTTTTTTTAAAGCAATTTTCATATTTATTGTTGACAAAGAAAGAAAGAAGATACATCTGGGTGACATTTTCAAATTTACTACTTCGTTAAAATTTATTTTCATTTTTATTTTAAATATCAAATTTTACCATTATTTTAATTGCATAAAAATCGGCATAAAAAGATTAAAATTGTAAAGGAAGCATTAATATTATACAATTTAATTTAAACAAGAAAATAACAAATTAAAAAAATGATATTCAAAATAAAAATGAAAATAAATATTGCTAAAAAAAATTTTTTTGAGTTTTTTGAAGCATTATTTTGCTACATATTTAGTGGAAAACAGAAATAATCCATTGGAGTAAGTATTGCTTGCAATTAATATTGCCAAACAGCTGACACTATTTTAAATTGCAATGAAATAAGTGCAAAGTTATTTTCAAATTTATTATATATATTTTTCTCATTGCTCTTTTTACTTCGAGTGTTGATCGACAAGAAAGAAACGAAGCATTTTGCTTCATTCACACATTTCTTCAAGGGACCATTACTCTTGCAAACAATATTATATTTAATAAGAGTAGCACAATTCAATCCAACAAAGCAATATTTTAAATATTATTTTATTTCAATAATTTTTTTCTTTTGTTTCACAATGATTTCGTTATCATTCGAAGTGTCTCAGTCATTTTCAATATGCCATGATAAGGACACTTAATCAGTTGATAAGCTTGAGCTCTTGGTTTTTGATTTCAACTATTTTTGTTTTCTTTTGCTTTTCAATATTTTAAGATACTGAAATGTTTATTTCACAAGCTAGACATATATGAGCTAAGATTTTTTAATCAAAGGAAAAGCATAATATTGTTTACTCTCTTTTTTGATTTAATAAACAATTTGTAAAATAACTCACTGTTTTCAAATCTTGTAGATAATAGAGTAAAAGAATTGGATATAACTATAGCCTAAATTAATTTGCTTTAATTCTTATAAAAATTGACGACTGTGAAACAGATGAAAAGAAATGTGATAAATGTGAATATTAAAGAGATTAAAAAAAAAATTTACTTGATGTAACTAAACAAATTTAAAAAGTTTTTCTGAAATAATAAAATGAGAAAATACCAACCTGTTTCGTTCGCTTTCGTAAAATTTATACAAATTTTTTATTCCATCAATAAATTTAGAGAAAATAAACATAGTAATAATTCAGAATTTATTTACTGATAACTTAGAAGGTACCATTATTTCCGATCACAATCCATTTGTTCATTATAAGCTTCTTTCAGATCTTTCAGTAAATTGCGTTCCAATATATTTCCAGCTGTGATTAAACCACTGTACAGTACACTTGCAATGCCACAGAAGAGAACATCTTGTCCTAAAAAGTTGCATTACAAATTAATCTTTTCAAAAATAATTTCCAAACCACATTTTGGTCATAAAAATCGATGAAATAAGTATTACATATTATCAATAATACAGTTAGAAAAAAAAAAAAAAAAAAAAAAAATCATAAGAAAGATGAGGTTGATTATAGATAGATAGGATAAGTAGTGATGAGAAAATTAAAACCGTCTATTCGATTATAGTTGATGAAATAAAAGAAAAAATTTTGTGCAATTAAATTTTTAATCAATATTACGATAAATAAAGAACACTTGGGAAAATTACAGATCTACCTGAGAGATAGAGACCAGGTAAATCTGTTTTGCATCTCAATTCACTCCAGAATTTCAATTTAAACCGATCAATTTGTTGCGTTAGTGAATAGTATTCACCATATGCATTTCGCATATAATACTGCTGAGTTAATGGAGTTGAAAATTCAACGTATGCTATCTGTAAGTTAAAATTTTAGCATTTATTAATATTTAACTCAAATCTATTTGCAATCACAAAGAAATCACAGTTATTAACCTTTGACCGGTTGCAAACAACTACCTACTAGTTTCCTTATTATTTCTTTCAAAATTTATAATTCGCAACTCATTAATCTCATTTAAAAATTTCAAGTTTGCTTTCTGGAATTCTGAACTTACATGTGATTTAAGATTTGGAAACAATTTCAAGAATTGACTTAACATCAATTCACCAATTACATGTTTTAATTCAGTATACTCTGCTCGATTCAATCGTTTTATGGAATTCTTTTTCGATGTATCTTTAAATTCTTCGAACCAAGCAGGATTTGCTATTGAAATTAATTGACATGTTGAAGTACCTGAAATTTGCCTACTCGTAGAGATTTTCTAACCAAAGGATATTTAAAATGCTATCAGTTCAATAAAAATTTGGCATTTATACCAGGATTTCGTTCATCCCATGTTGGATCTTTGGCTGATGGGAAGCAAATGAACATTTGCGCTGGACAGCCATATTCCATTGCTTCTGAGGATGACAAACTGAAATTCAGTAATATTTTCACTCAAAAAATATTTAAAAATGTCATGAGTTCAATAACTGAAATAATACAGATGAAATTCTGTTTTATGCATTAGCTAGCACAAAATTTTGTTGCAAAATCGTTTTGAAGTAAGTGATGCTCTTTCAAAGGTTATTTAAGGAAAACAGAAAAAAAACTTTTGTATTCTCATATTTCACAACGAATTCAATTATGGTATTGTTGCTAAACAATATAGTAATAGTGTTTTGCTTATCATTGGACTTTGCAACAAAACTTTAGTTATAATAAGACCTTGCTTAAAAACTTCAAACCATCAAAATAATTAACCTCAAATAATGATCAAACTCATAAGGATTACTGTTTTTGTACCAAAAAAAATTATTGGACGGTAATCGGAGGTTATTTTGCATTCCAGATAAACCAATATATGCTTGAAATCCACCAACCGGCACAGTCTCCAGTGAATTAAGTTCATTCACCTTTTTAAACATAACTGTAAAATATGAAAAACTCTGTATTAATTCATCTTAAAGAAATATTCAATTATCCAAATAATTACCCGAATTTCGAGCAATATTTTGAGGTATTAGCTCGTTGAATGTCTTGATAATTGGAGCTGTTGAAACAACCAATGAAGTTTGGATGATGTATTCAAAAGAGCCATGTTTCACTTTTACTCCTAAAGTTCAAAAATTTAGAAATTGATGAAATAACCACAAGAAGCATCAATTATCATCGAGCAAAGAATTGCATAAACTGGTTTTAATACGATTTTATGACTGTAAATTTTGTTTTTTTTACTTACAACTACACATGGCAATTAATAAGAAAACATCGTTAAAAATGCAACATTTTTTATTTTACTAGATGTGAACATAAACTTCTGGTAGAAGAGTTCCAAAATAATTTCAAAGTTAAGTACCATTAACCCTTCCACTGTTAAACACAATCTCTTGCACATCTGCTTGCACAATCACTTTTCCACCAAAATTTTGAATCGATCGAACAATGCTGGCAATAAGAAATGCTGCCCCACCAATGGGATAATATCCATTTTCCATAAGAAAGAGATTATGTTGAAGAAATGATGCACGATTTGGAGGAATACCTGAAAAGTAATTAAAATTAATTTTAAAAGTAAATTTAACTGCAAAACGTTGAGATAAAGTGTATATGTCATCCTAGCTGCAGTCTCTAATTTGTGGAAAAGGTTTCAAATTTCTATATAATTCCAATAGTTTCAAGGACAAATAAATTACGAATTTAAAATAAAACGAGAAATTGGGAAATGTTAATTTGTTAATCAAAAGCATACCAAAAAGAAGAAAGAAAGAAAATTCGCCACAGGAAGACTGTGATAAATGAAATAAATACTGTTAACGTAATGTAAAGTAAGGTAAGTAAATAAGATAAAAGTAATTAAGACATATCAGATATCGTCAATTATTTTAAAAAGTTGTAAAATAACGAATTTCCATTTAAAAGAAATTTGTTCCACTTACCATAATTAACAAAATAATAACTAATAATAGCTTTCACATCATCGCTGAGTCCATAGCTCTTCATAACATCTATCAGATTTAGTTCGCAATATTTAAATAAATTGGTAAAGAAATTGATCAAACTGAATTTGGATAGTAAGCGAACGAAGAAAAGTGGTAAGTGTTTTACGCCAGTCAACCACCACAAATTAATATTAAGACATTTCTAAAATTTAAATCTACCTTTAGAAATCATTTTATGTGATGAATTCTTATCTACCAAAAAGGAATGATTTCATCATGTTTACAAAAAAAGGATTAACTTGAGCATTTGCCCTTATTCAATTAACCTTCTCAACAGAGTTCAAGTTAAAAAGTTCTCTCTTCACTTCTTTCCTAAGTTAATCAATCGTTAGAACATGAACTTGAAACTCACTAAAACAAAATCAAAATAGCTGTGGATACTATCTGCTTCTTCTGAAAACCACAATTTTAACTGATCACGAAAATGCATACTATTTCCAGTTTTTCGACCATAATATCGTTCTCCAATTATTATCTTTAAAATAATAAATTTATAATATTTTTTTGATATATCAATTCATAATTAGTTCTAATTAAAAGGTCTAATTAAATAGCAACTTTTGAAAGATGAAATGTACGGTATCGAATGGTTCTTCCATTTTTTGCCAATGAACTTGTGAATCTGTAATAGCTGAACATATGCGATACAATTCTTTTCCGGGATACATATCTTGTACATAGTGCAAACCTGAAATTTTCATTCAGGAAATAGAAAATTGAATAGCGAAGGGATAAAAAGTAATATAAGTAATACTTTTTACTATTTTGCTTTTTAATAAAGCGGATTTAAGCATTTTGGAAGTGCTAAAACTTGTTTGCATAACAGAACAAAATCACAAAAAAATTGAATCATGAAAAAGAAATGATAAGCAATAGCTGAACAATACTGATGAATGACAGATACATTTTTGACAAATATATACTAACCTAATTGTTGCTTTAAATGTTCACCCTAGGATGAACTAAAAATTTTAAAGAAAACTTGCCAACATCAAATTCATATTTGTCAAGTTTGAAAGTATGACATGAGCCACCAGCTCGATCATGTTGCTCCAGCACAAGTACCTTACGACCTGCAGTTGCTAGTATTTTTGCTACTGTCAACCCTGATAAACCTGATCCAATTACAATTACATCCCATTTCTCATTAACAATTGATGGATTAAATCTAAAAATAATAACCATTGTTGGATGCGAAATATTATTCATTCATCAAATTACCATCAAATATATGAAGAAATGTCACATAAAATGCCACATCAAAACGTCGTTTAGTTAAAAAACTTCAATCAAAATAGAAATAATTCATTAATATATACTTTGAATATAAATAATAAACCTGCAATTTTGGACAAAAAAATGTCAAAAACATACCTATTTCTTAAAATATTATAAATTTGTTCAGTGGATAATGGCGGATCCATAGATTTACCAGTACAAATCATCTTGCGAAAACAATTATTTATATCACTGTCACGTTTTAGCATTTTGAGTGATATAAAGAAGAAAAGAGATGTAATTGCAAGGATCACATACATTTCAACAAGAACCATTTCTGGAATAAATTTAGCATTCAATCTAATTTGCTAAAGATATGTGCAAATTGACGACTCTTCAGTATCACTAAATCTGCAATTTATCACATTCACTAATTGCATTGCTATAGAGACTTTATAGTGAATTTGTCTCCAGTCAATACAGCAAACTTAGAGTAGACATGTTATCATCGATTTCCTTAGTTTGATTAAATTGATTTAGGTGAGAAAAATTAAAGAACCTTTAATTTCTTGGTGAATTGAAGGTTTTTTTTGAACGTGGAAATGATGTAATTTTGAGCAGTCCAACCTGACGGAGGAAACCGGTCCACTGTAGTTAACGACATTTAGTTTGATTAAATTGATTTAAGAGAGAAAAATTAAAGAACCTTTAATTTCTTGGTGAATTGAAGGTTTTTTTTGAACGTGGAAATGATGTAATTTTGAGCAGTCCAACCTGACGGAGGAAACCGGTCCACTGTAGTTAACGACATTTAGTTTGATTAAATTGATTTAAGAGAGAAAAATTAAAGAACCTTTAATTTCTTGGTGAATTGAAGGTTTTTTTTGAACGTGGAAATGATGTAATTTTGAGCAGTCCAACCTAACGGAGGAAACTGGTCCACTGCAGTTAACGACATTTCGCTATCACAACACAATGTCATACCACACTGTCTCCAAATAACAACCCATGTTTAACTACTATCAATCTTAATTCACTTTATAACGGTCCTATTTTATCAGATATCAAATTCTTCAGGAAATACAAATGCAAACATATATCAGTCAATATCGTTCTGTCTTGTCCACCGTGCAATAATGATAATATTTTCTTGTGTGGTTGAGAAAAAGGAAGTTTTACTATCTTTCAGATCACTTCAGTCAATGTTTTCAGCTTTCATTTCAGTAAACTGCATTAAAACAAGCATTTTGCCATATAAGGAACAAAGAGGAATGAATGCTGGAAGGATGAAATTGTTCACATGGTAAATATATTCATTCTCAAAAATTTGATCGGTACAGTAACAGTAATGAAAATAACGCAGCCAATGAGGAAATTATTTTAAAATGCGTGATGAATAAAAATGTGAGGCACAACGAATTACGAGACACAAGTTTACGCAAGATTAACTAGCAAATAGTAGCACAAAAAATCAGCGTAATTAACTAAAAACAAAATCAGTATGCATCAAAAACATCATATGCACTTATCCAAATCAACAAAATAACAAAATTGGACACTAATTTTTGACTTTTAGACTTACATGAATAAATTTGCTGGCCATAAGTAAATTTCAAGATTTTAAATATTTTGAGAAAATAATGGTCCAACGCTTATGTAATGCTCATTATCCACTTAGAACAAACAAATTATAACTCAATAATTAAATGTCGAAATGAGAGACGAATCTTAAAAAACACCCGTCCAACAATCAATACATTCCTCCCATACCTCCCATGCCACCACCCATACCACCGCCCATTCCAGCTGCCATCTGAGGCTCCTCTTTCGGCATCTCCGTCACTACGCACTCCGTTGTGGCCAACAATGATGCAACACCAGCCGCATCCTAAAAATTCCGTTGCTGGTTAAAATTCAGTAAAAGAATTTGAACACCTAATTTCAAGATCATCTAATGATGCTTTTAACTGTTCGGAAAACTTGGTTCCCTCTCTTGATACCTTCAGCTATTGCTACTGAAACTATTGCAACAAAAACTAGGATCTATGCACTATTTTGACTCTGAGATGAAAAATAAAATACATCACGGAAAAAGAAAACTACCTGTAGAGCAGTTCGGATGACTTTCGTAGGATCAATAATACCGGCTTTAAACATATCCACATAAGTATCATTCAGGGCATCATATCCAAACGGTAATTCACTGCTAGCAAGTACTTTTTCCACAACAGAAGATGGATCAACACCGGCATTTCTCACAATTGTCATGATTGGCTCACGTACTGCTTTCTGCACTATTCGCATACCTTAAACTGACTACAGTGAATTCTTGTATGGGAAATCAATTTAAAGCATGCATTAAACATAATGAAGTAAAGAAGTATAACCTTTTTCCTGATCAGCATTCTCTCCTTTAACATCTTCGATAGCTTTCAGGGCACGGAGAAGTGCAACACCGCCACCTGGTACAATACCTTCTTCAACAGCTGCTCTAGTGGCATTTAACGCATCTGTGACACGGTCCTTTTTTTCGTTTACCTCTACTTCACTAGCACCACCTACTTTCAGGACTGCAACACCCTTCGAGAGCTTTGCCAATCGCTCATTCAGTTTTTCCTAAAATAATCATTTTAAAATCATTTTTCCCCCTACAGTGAAAGGAACCATCTCAACAAGACAACACGAAAAGAAAAAGAACTTATTTAAAAATTATTTGCATTCACCTTCTCGTATTCAGACGTACTTTGTTCCAGCTCATCTTCAATCATTGAAATTCGTTTCTCCAGGTCTTCAGGTTTTCCCTGCAAATGATTCGCAAAATTACAAATTATAAGAGTTATTCCTTTAAACATTTAACAAATAAGACTTATTAAAAAATAAGAATTTAAATATCATAGAATTTTTTCATATATAACACAAAAAGATCTTAAATCACTAATCAATCTGTTCCCGATCTCAACATAACAAAGAAACCTCAAGTTTTTTTCTTTCGGAAATGAGATCCTTTTAGCCTAACATTTTTTGCGACGGAATTAACACACAGTAACAGAGTTACCTGCCACTTGAAGGATTTACAGACATTTAAATAAATTTCGATATAAGTCAATTCTCTATCTTTTTGTAAGAGAAAATTCTTTTATTTTGAGATTATTTATACAATAGATGTACACACTCCTCCATATTACTTCACCTGATATATAAAAGACACACGGGAGAAAGAAACTTGATATTACACTATTAGTTCATGGAAGTGCTTTAGCATGAAGTAATGTTGTTTTGGCACGAAATGATGCCACTAAGTTGATGTGAATGTCAGTGACTGCAGACCGTTGGATTTAATACTTCGAGTTAATTTTGAAGTTTTAAATAATTTTGTATTCTAAATTGATGGGTTTCATTGTTCAATATAATGGTATCGCAGCGCCAGCACTACTTTAGAGTAACAAATTTCTTCATACTTCCCACCAGATAAGTCAAAAAAAAATCCTGAATGACAGCGGATATATTCAAAGTCCTCAATATCGAATCATACCTTGCCACGCAAGATGAGTGTATCATCTTTCGTAATCGAAACTTCTTCAGCTTCACCGAGATCACTGATCTGCACATCTTCGATTTTTAGCAAATTAGCATCATCTCCAAATACTGTCCCACCTGTAGCTATCGCCATGTCTTTCAGTGTATTTTTCCTGTTATCGCCAAAACCGGGTGCTTTCACAGCTGCCACTTGGAGGCCAACCTAGAATTCATAAGTAAACCAATATTGCTCATATATTAATAAACCCGGATTGGTCTCTTTTGCGTAAGTTCAGCCTCTAAAGACTTCAGTAATTTTTGGTGGTTGGATATCTTGGTGACTGATTTAAAATATGTGATCTTTTCAGAAATTTGCTAGCAAGAAAGTCACTGGAAAAAACCAAATAGTAGATTCAGTAGTATAATTTTATATTTGGTAGTATAAATATAAAATTAAAAATTTTAATTTTCCCTTCTGTTTATGAAATAAAATTACCTTCAACCTATTCAGCACAAGAGTAGTAAGTGCTTCGCCATCTACATCTTCCGCAACAATCACAATTGGCTTTCTGTATTTGTTAGCCAATTCAAGAGCTGGTACGATATCCTAAAATCGGTGTGTCAAGTATGTGTATTGTTTGAAGGTATAAAAACCAACATCCATAGATTCAGAGTTCAATGAATGAACATCACCCTGCAGTTGTGCAGACAGGGTGTACAGAGGTAACATACAGTGACCGTGACCGTATAGCAATGGTTTTGCGTAAGAACTTGTTAAAGAAGGTTAATATACCGTTCTTTCTTGTGTAGTAGATTCTACAAATTCCAACTTTGATCAAAAATGATTAGAATATATTCTTTACATTCATTTGTCACAATCGCTCATAAATTAACACCACGCACAAATTAGCTCTATATGTTTACCTGTACTTGGCTGATTTTCTTTTCCGAAAACAAAAGAAGGCATTTCTCGAACTCCACTTTAGCTCCCTTTGTTGTGTTTATAAAGTATGGAGAAATGTATCCACGATCAAATTTCATTCCTTCGATCGTTTCCAATTCATCATGCAATGTTTTACCATCTTTGACGGTGATCACGCCCTTGTTTCCGACCTAAAATTTGAATTAATTCATTGCGGACTTTGATCCACGTCAATTTCATTGCAAAAGCAAATAAACATTTAATGTTTACGGATAGTACTGAAAAAAAAAAAGATTGAGTTACTTTAATCTCGCAACGCAAAAAAAAAACTAATAACCAAGAGTTTCTCCAACATGGACAAAATCATTTCAACTAATGGCGAACCTGAGCATGCTTCCACAGTACGGAATGTGTTGCAGATATTGAAAATAGATGTTTTTATTGTATAAAACACTTGGAAAAAAAAAAAAATTTGATAGGAACACAAAAATACCTTCTTCATTGCTTCGGATATCAGTTTCCCCACAGTAAAATCACCGTTAGCTGAAATTGTTGCTACTTGCGCGATTTCTTCCGGGGTTGTCACATCTTTACTCATTTTCTTCAGTTCAGCAACCAAGAGTTCCACAGCCTTCATTACTCCTGCATAACAGAGAGAGAAATATCCAGAAAAGATCTAATTACAATCTTGGTAAATATAATGATTCGGTTTCAAAGGATGGAAAGCAGCAATTCCTTTTTCAAAGACGAAACATTTAAATTACTGTCCTTACCACACTCAACTCAACT